TTTGGGGACTTTTCCCACCCCCTTCAAATCCCCAAAATCTGGGAAAGGGCTGGAGAATCACTGAGAAGAGGCTGGAGAATTTTTGGGAAGGGGCTGGAGAATTCCTGAGGGAAGCACAGGAAGGGAACCTTGGAAAGTTTTAACCCCCATCCAAGGATGCAAACCCCCAACTCTGCCTGCCTGGCCTCAAACCTCAATCCCAGCTTACCCCATAAAAACCCAACCCCAAAGGTCACCCAGCCCCGTGAGGAACCCCGATTTTTCCCGGTTTCCCAGGGGCTTTGAGGGATGCCCAAGAAATTCCAGGGGGAGAACAGCAAGTCGGCGGCGGCGCGCGCCCGCAGGGCCGAGGCCAAGGCGGCGGCGGAGGCGCGGCGGCAGCAGGAGCTGGAGGATGAGCTCTGGAAGGACGAGGACAAACACGTCCTGAGGAAGGAGCAGAGGAAGGTGGGGAGCCCCAAATCCCGGGAGCAGGGAGGGGAGAAGGTTCGGGAATGAGGGGGAGAACGTTTGGGAATGTGGGGGAGAAGGTTTGGGAAAGGGAGGAGGAACAGCCTTGGGGAGAGAGGGGGAGGAAGCAGGTGAGGGAGAGGAGGGAAAGCCCTGGGGATGAGAGGAAGGACATCCATGAATCCATCCATCCATGAATCCATCCATAAATCCATTCATGGCTCCATCCATCCATGAATCCATCCCTCCATCCATTAATCCATCCATTAATCCATCCCTCCATCCATGAATCCATTCATGGCTCCATCCATCCATTAATCCGTCCATTAATCCATCCATTAATCCAACCATTAATCCATCCCTCCATCCATGAGTCCATCCATGAATCCATTCATGGCTCCATCCATCCATGAATCCATCCATGAATCCATCCCTCTATCCATGAATCCATCCATGAATCCATCCATAAATCCATTCATGGCTGCATCCATCCATAAACCCATGCATGAATCCATCCATGGATCCATAAATCCCTCCATGAATCCATCCATGGCTCCATCCATCCATCCCTCCATCCATGAATCCATCCATGGCTCCATCCATGAATCCATCCCTCCATCCATGAATCCCTCCATGAATCCCCCCTCCACCCACATCCCTGGGTCCCAGCCCTTCCCAAGCGCTCTCCCCCGGCTCGGCCCCGTCCCGTTCCCGGCTAACCGGTCCCGGGGCGCGTTCCCGTCCGCGGGCCGGCGCGATCCCGGTGTTCCGTGCCCAGGAGGAGCGGGAGAAGCGGCGCCTGGAGCAGCTGGAGCGCCGCAAGGAGCTGCAGCGGCTGCTGGAGGAGGAGGACTCCAAACTCAAAGGGAAAACTTCCAGGCAGGGAAACGCCGGGAAAATCACCCGCGCCCAGATCGAGGAGAACGTCCGCAAGGAGCAGAGGGAGAGCACGGAAGCAGGTTTGGGAATTCCCTTGGATTATCCCAAAAAAACCTTCCCAAAAAGAATGGATGTGGTACTTTGGGGTGAGCTTTGGCGTTGGGTTTGATCCCAAAGCGCTTCTCCAGCCGTGGAATTCCGTGGAATTCTGTGATCTATTCTCCTCAGCTTCTTGATTTTCCTTGTCCACGTCCTCCCGAGTCCCACATTTCCGAGTCCCAGTCCCACGTTTTCTTTTTACAGAGGAAAAACTGATTTTTTATTTGAATTTTTTATTTTTTTATAGGAAAAATTGAGTTTTCCAATTAAAAAACAAAAAAAAAAAAGGATTTTTCATAGGGAAAAGCTGGAGTTTTTTAGAGGGAAATTTCCAGAGAAAAACTGGGGTTTTTTTAGAGGAAAAATTGAAGTTTTTTTAGAGGAAAAAATGAGGTTTTTTAGAGGAAAAAATGCGGTTTTTTTAGAGGGAAAATTCCAGAGGAAAAATTGAGTTTTTTTCAGATAAAAAAATGGAAGTTTTTAACACAAAAAATGGAGGGTTTTTTAGAGCAAAAATTGAGTTTTTTAGAGGAAATTTTGAGATTTTTCAGAGAAAAAATTGAGCGTTTTAGAAGGAGAGAATTAACTTCCCCGCGGTAGTTTTAAAGCAAACCGGGGGTTTTCCAGAGGGATAATTGATTTTTCCAAAGGAATTCCTCAGCATTCCCGGTTTTTCCCGGCAGTGGAGAAGGAGAAATCCCACCTGGAGCTGCCGCTGGAGGAGAACCTGAACCGGCGGCTGCCTGAGGAGGGCGCTGTGGAGGCGCGCAGCATCGAGGACGCCATCGCCGCCCTCAGGTACCCCCAAATCCCCCCGAATTCCCCCGAATTCCCCCCAAATCCCACCTGGAGGGGCCCAAAACCTGCCGGGGGTTGGGATCCCGGCGGAAATCCGGGATTTAGGGGTTTGGGGAGCAGTGATGGGTCCTGGGATTGCAGGCAGGCGATGGGATGGGGTGTTCCTGTGGGATCTGGGAAATCCTGTGGGATTGGGGTGTCCCTGGAATCCGTGGGGGGATTTCTGTAGGATTGGGGTGTCCTTGGAATCCGTGGGGGGATTTCTGTGGGATTGGGGTGTCCTTGGAATCCTGTGGGATTGGGGTGTCCCTGGAATCCGTGGGGGGATTTCTGTGGGATTGGGGTGTCCCTGGAATCCGTGGGGCCACTTCCCTGGGATCGGGGCCGTTTCCTCTGCGACTGTGTCCCTCCCTCTTGCTGTCCCGTCGGGGCCACGTCCCCATGTCCCTCCCTGTCCCCCCGACGTGTCCCCGTCCCCTGTCCCTGTGCTGTCCCTGACGTGTCCCCGTCCTTGTGCTGTCCCTGACGTGTCCCTGACGTGTCCCTGTGCTGTCCCTGACGTGTCCCCGTCCCTGTGCTGTCCCTGATGTGTCCCTGTGCTGTCCCTGACGTGTCCCCGTCCCTGTGCTGTCCCTGACGTGTCCCTGTGCTGTCCCTGACGTGTCCCCGTCCCTGTGCTGTCCCTGATGTGTCCCGTCCCCTGTCCCTGACGTGTCCCTGACGTGTCCCTGACGTGTCCCTGTCCCTGTGCTGTCCCTGACGTGTCCCTGTGCTGTCCCTGACGTGTCCCTGTGCTGTCCCTGACATGTCCCTGTGCTGTCCCTGACGTGTCCCTGTCCCTGTCCCTGTGCTGTCCCTGACGTGTCCCTGACGTGTCCCTGACGTGTCCCTGACGTGTCCCGTCCCCAGCGTGTCCCAGCCCCTGGAGCGCCATCCCGAGCGCCGGCTCCGCGCCGCCTTCGCCGCCTTCGAGGAGCTGCAGCTGCCGCGGCTGCGGCGGGAGCACCCCAACCTGCGGCTGAGCCAGCTGCGCCAGCTGCTGCGCAAGGAGTGGCTGCGCGCGCCCGAGAACCCGCTCAACCAGCGCCACGCGCCCCACGGCGGCGCCCCGTAGATCC